CAACCCTGGTTTCGACCCTATTCTTTTGGGTCCTTTACGAATATAGTAAGAGTTTATTCAACCAGTAGATATCGACTATTGTTACGCGAGCATAACAATTGGTATCAACTATTTACGTACAATATTTTGACACGTACGTTACTTGATCCCCGACGCTCGAATACGCCGTATCGTTTAGTAACGCGATTCAGTTGCTGGTTGACGTATAATTTGATCAATTGAATAGCACACTGTTAACTCTTACCGATTTGTATGTAATTCGCTGGTGAAATCGGACAAAGAGACGGCGGCGAGCGCGAGCACCCTTGTAGGTTAGACGAGCGCGACGGGAACGTCCAGAGGAGCGCTGCCGTCGCGCTCGCTGTGAATCGCGCCTTAACGCGTCGGGCGGCGCCCCATTGGCGGCCGGCGGCGGCCAATGGGCGCGCGCGGCTACGAGGGAGCGAGTCGAATCACGCATGGCGTCCGGGGGGAACCGACGCCATCTAACGACTGGCATTCCTGCTCGCTCCCGCTGGTAAAGCCAGGGCCATCGTCGAAGAAGCGCGGAAAGCACCTCGTCGCTCCTCGTCGGTTCTGTTGTTCGGCGGATCGTGTGCGTGTCCCCGGGCCCGCGTCTGCCCGCGCGTGCTGCTGCTCACGCCCGAGTCGGTTTACGTCGTCGCCGCTGTACGCGCGGGGCTATGGCGCGTGCACGCCGCGTGAAATGATAGGCGTGGGACGACGGGGCTCACTGCGTGCCGGCCAAGCGTTTGGGCGAGCGAGCTAACCCATCGGCGTGCGTCGTTGTGCGTCGGCGACGCGACGAGCGGCGGCGGCCAGACCTCCCGGACACGGGGGCACCCTCCACTGTGCGCCTCGACGGATTCCTGTTACACGGCCGCCCCCCACCCCGCCGTCCTCCGCGGGATAGCAGGTAAGCGCAGCGGGCGCGAACGCGAGCGCGCGCCGTCCCGAGCCGCCGCGGCGCGCCGAGCCGCGCGCGCGTTCCGTCCCGCCAGCCAGCTGCGTCCCCGCGGCGAAAATTCGCCCCCCCGTGTTTATGTTTACTCCTTTAATTACCCCCTCCCCGCGCCCCCACCCGCCCCCTCGTGTCCACTCGCGCTCCTCCGCTCGCCTCGTATCCCGCCTTTCGCGATTTTCTCGCCGCTTTTCGCCACGCGCCCGCTTCCTCGTCCCCGCGCTCGCTTGCTTCTCTCTCCCTCTCTCTCTCTCCCCCCCCCCTTTCTCTCTCTCTTTCTCTCTCGCTCTTTCTCTCCTCTTTCTTTCTCGGTCGCTCTTGCTCGCTTTCGTTGTCGCTCCCGCTCTCTCCGCCTCTACGTTTTTCCTCCCTGCTTCGCGTTCCTCGACTATTAGCGGAAACAAACGTTTCCATGTCTCTTTCTCGTCGCCGGATTACGCGCCTAGGTACTCCGGTCCGCTATCGGAACGTGCAGAAAAGTGCCCGTAATGTATTCGCGACGATAATTGCGTTATATAAACTTTGTATTATCATGCGACTTCTCGGTTTTTTTTCTCTCTCTCTGTCTCTCTCTCTCCCCTTCCTCCCTCGTCTCTTTTAATTGCTCCGATACGTTCGGGAGTAGCGATCGTTAGTCGTGACGAGAACTCGCGGCGTATTCGGTTTAATTAGCCGAGTGATTTAATTCGCCGCGCGTAACTCGACGCCACGTTTCGAGGGACTGCAATAAAAAATATACGTATATGCACATATACTTGTTGACCGCGCGCCACCGAGACGCGATCTCGCGCAAACGAGTCAATTGCAAAGGGATTGTTTCGTCTCCCGCCTGTTTCACCACCTTTGCCTGTCCCCGCGATCGAGAGCGAGTGGCCGTCTGTCTAAGAGCCAATGTTGTCCAGGTGCATCGCGCTGTACACCACCAGCCGCTCCATGCTCCCCATAAATGCCATGGCACAGAAAGTGGTACCGGGATCAGAGTCGGGTTCGATGAAGCCGCTGACCGGCAGCGGACTGAGCTACGTCACGCTGCAGCCGCCCAGTCAGCCGCTCAGTCTGGTGCAGGACCACAGACCGTCCGTGTATCAGACGCCGCCGTACATAGGCGGCAACATGGAGAAGGAGCCGGAGGCGGAGAAGTTGATTCCGAACGGCGTCGAGATCACGAAGGCCGAGGCCGAGCAGGACGTGCCTGTTGTCGCGAAGCAGACCGAGTCCAACAGGAACAACAACCTGAGTCCCGAGACCCCCGCTCCAGAGCAGCCGTGCGAGGTGCAGTCGGAACAGGCGCTAACGTCCTTGATGGAGTTCCCACTGAGTACTCGTAAGTAATATTTATTATTCCCGCCTCCGCCTCGTAAATTCAACTTTTTCTACTTGACGGGCAAAGGAATATATCTGGCAATATGACAAATAAGCACTTCGGATTGTGTCATCTGTTAATTAAATTGTTAAATACATCTTGTCGATTCCCCTTGGGGTTACGAGGCGTTTTTGAAGGAACGTGCCCCAACCTCTTATAACACCTCTCTCTTTCTATTTCCACTTCGCTATGTGGCGATCGAACGAAAACCAACAAATGTTTTTTGTTTAGTTTTGAACCCGGGTCTTCGAATTACCAGACCAGCGCACAAACCTCTGCGCCACGATCGCCACAAATTAAATTACTATTCATCATTCACCTTAATGTTCTTTAATTGATATCTGTTGGTAATTCTACACGTTAATGTGTCTGTCTCAAGCTGTTTCCTGTGATGTAAATAAAGTAACGTTGAAGACTTTAAGAAACGACAGTTTTATGAATCACGTAGAATAACGTTACATGAATTACAGATGTAAAATGTGTGCGATCGTAGATATCTATGTTGCAAGAGAATGAAATAGGATAAGCGCAAAGCTCGTATTCATACGCAATTTACGTTTGTAGCGATATGCACCCCGGCGCAGAATAAAGTTGAGGAAAAGAAGATCCCTGTAAATAATGGATCAAAGGAACCAGACGGCAAAGCTGTTAATGCTTCTGTACATATAAAACAATCTCCACATAAGCCAGAAGAGACACAAGCGAAGAACGAAGTCCCAAAGGCAAAACCCACAAATCAGAGTTTGAAAGTATCGAGTGATAATGCCGCCCCGACATTAACTAGTGCATATAAACCTGACGCGAAAGTCACTACCTCTCCCAAGACGACTAAGCGAAAATCCAGAGAGCTGAAAGATTTGAAGGCAGCGTCCGCTACGATCGCTGACGGCGCGAGCAAACCCAAGAGAAACCGGATTCAAACACAGCCCTATCAGAGCCCGTTGCCGGAGATCGCTTTACTGGTCAAAAATCTCAACAAGACTCCTGGTTCTAAAGCCCCTGACGACAAACTCATCGTGTTCTACAAGTAAACATCCGGTTTTACAAAAGTATATTCGACTTTTCGTACTTTGCGAGCGCCAATTAATTGTTGAATATTTGTACGCTAGAAACGAATTTTTGGCTGTGAGGAATGCAGAGGGAAGCTTCTATGTCTGCCAAGCGATGCAAAACATCTACAAATCGAGCAGACGCATCCGCATACGTTGGCTGTCTCAAGACAAAACCAATGGTGAATTCTATTCACCTGATTTCTATGACACCATAGGTATTGTCACGTGGTATCTTTGTTTACAGCATTGTACATTTGTCTGTTGTACCATGTATGTATTTCTCTCTTAATTGTATTGCTTCATTTTCAGACTTTGATTGTATATTAACGAATCTGAACCTGAGCAAGGTCGACAAGCATAAATTCTGGTTAACCAGAATAGAGCTGCTGCGTACAGAAAATATTCTGAAGCGGGCAATCGACGTCGAGGCTGGTGTCTCTGAAAAACCTCGAGTTACAGAAGAACATCCCGATGGATGTAAGTGAACGTAATGTTACAAAATAAGAGCTATTCAATATATTTTACAGACTCCGTCTTTACGACAATTACGCATGTCAAACGAACCTAACCGTAATATGTTTTCGTCTTTGCAGTGGACCTGTCGCTTTATAAAGACGAGTCGCAGCTCAAGAGAAGAAAAGGCCTGCAAAGTGAGAAGTCGAATCGTAAAAAGTCCAAGCGAGCCACGAGTTCTACGGATGACGACGCGGACGAGGAAGAATCGGACCGGAATCGGAAAGCATCCAAAGTGAGTCGCGCGAAGAAACGATCGGTCAAGGCACTGGCGATCGCCAAGTCTGTCGCGAAGGGCAGCAGCAGGGCAGAGAGAGCGCTAAACAGAAGCACGAAATCCGGCAATAGTCTAGACAACGATCTTGTTACTACTACTGTTACTGCTGCTGCTGCAGCTATCACCACATCTATCGTGACTACCGCTACAACTGCTACAGCAGTTGCTGCTTCTGCTGGTGCTTCTGCAACTGCTGCTACCGCCACGACCACAACTACTGTCAATCCCGCCACCGTTTCCGCGGTAGCGGATACCAAAAATAATGTAGACATGAAGAAGTTGGATTTAAAGAAGAACGGCAAGCAGCAAAGTAATAACGGCACCAGAGGAGTTCCAAGAACAAAACCCGGAGGTATGGAACGTTTTATACCTATTAGGCGTTGAAAAGTGAATCCCCCCCGCTGTGCTGCTTCTCAAATGAATTCATGAGAAAGAAATTTTACCAAAGAGTCAGCCGCTTAACTAAAACTTTACAAAGCACTTACAAATCGTCTAAACTCGGCGCGATAAAAATATATACGTTTCGACGTTTCGTTTAAAGATGTATTCAATTTTGGCTGACGTTTGAATTTTATTTCTCATTGAAATGTTATTGAATTTGAAAGGTTCTGCTCAAGCCACACAGCAATCGAGTAAAATAGCAGGACGTCCGAAGCGTGTGGCCGCAACCACCGGTGTTGTTTCGACTGAGGAAGCACCTTCTCCAAGGAAGAAGCCGCGCGGTCGGGCATAAAATTAACTTAAGCGTTGCTTTTTTTATGCTACAGTTACAGCCGAGTCTGTATCGTAGGCAATATGTACGTGTGGTACACCTCTGGAAATTGCAATGAATTTGTTATGTAATATATACATGTAATATGTATGGATCTCAAGATAAATGTATCATGTGCTGCGATAATATTATAGTCCAATGATACGGGATCAACGACTTGTGTCTCTGATTCGTCAAGTCGCATTTGAAAAAAAAAAGAAAAGTAAAAGATAAAAGATAAGAAAAAGAGACTCGGAGATTTATGCGAGCGATATTGTGATATCATACAAAATTTGTACATATCGTCTACGTCTCAGACTCCTTCAGGGGAAGAAAGTCACGGAATGTGTGGGAACGGTACCTTGAGTTGAGTAATAACTAATCTACAGGGTGTCACATACTAATGCACTCTTGCAATAGTCTATTTTTGATGTTGTGAGTGAACCGTACGTGATTCAGTTAATTTTAATGTACACTTTCCATTGGATATGATATATACTATGTACAAATACACATGTCTGGAAGAGGTAGGAGTTATATGTATTCTGTAAAACAGAGACAAAGAGAGAAAGAGAGAGAGAGAGAGAGAGTAAGATACAAAGAAATGAAAAAATAGTGTCGATAAAGAAAACGAGAACAATCCCGAGTATTACCGATCCCCCGAGTTAATCCTCGGTCAACTGATCGGTAAAGGATTTTGAAGTACAATACATTACTGTACATTATGCTGAATCCTTGCTGTTAAAAAAAATCTAGCACATATAAAAATGGTCCAGCGCCTATATAAAGACAAGCAGAGTAAAGAAGTGCCCTGAATTGTCTCCTTGTCAATCCAAGGGATTCGCGAGAGACTCGCGAGCGGAAAGTAGCACGTTGCTTATAGTTTGTTTTTTCAATTTTCACTTGCGACGGCCCGTTATAAAATCGCAGGGTTCGTAATAAAATCAGAGATCGAGAGATTGAGTGGGAGAGAAAGAGAGAGAGCAAGAGAGTGGTGCCACATGATTATGATTTTAGTTACGTAGACATAATCTTTAAAAGAAGAACGAAAGAAACAATACTTATTTAGAGCGCTAAGTTTTGAAGTTTAATTGTATAAATCTTGATTTACATACGCGTTAATTTTAATCTCTCCCTTTTTTTTTCATCGAGGGTGACAGAATGACAAATGATTAAAGTGTATATTTAATGTCATATGCTAGACAATTATGATTTATATATGTCACCAAATTTATATAGATTTACATATATTTTAATATAGCGCATATTTTATATTCTGAACGTTTGTTGCGAGGAACGCAAGCTTGTGTCAGTGTATTTCTTTTTCCCCCCGTGGAAAAACCGTTAAGGAAGTGTATCGTTTGATCGTGTAACGTGTAATGAGACATTGTATGTTTCTCTTTTTATACACTATGACAGTAGCGGTACGAGGATCTTGCGAAGCAGAGATAGATTATTTATAATGTTGTGAGAGGTCGGCAGCTTCGAGCGTCAACGGGGAATAACCCTGTACGTCGTCCACTGCGAGGATGAATTTCTTTGATTAGGATTCCGTGTATCGGGACATGTGTAAACGCATTTTATACAACAAGAGACCGTTAAAGTACCGTCGTTCTCCCGCTTGATTTCGCCCGGACGTAAAGCGTGTACATAAAGCGATTAGATAATCAAAATTGTGCATACGAGTGTTGACCACCGAGGGGCCCTTCCTTCGCTGGCGTTCCGAGTGAAATTAGGGCGATCACCATTGCAATTCGCTTAGCACGTATCACACGGCACCCGCTTTTCATTTAGCACATTACGCAATTCTCTCGATAATCGCTTATTGTTTCTCGATGACCCATGAGCGCTTATACGTTGAGTGCGAACACGCGAGACGCCGTTTATAAGAAAAGGAAAGAACAGGCATATCGACCTCTGCTCGAAAAAAAAGATGATGAAGATAGAATACGATATAATTATAACTAAATGGTTAAGGTGGAATTTTTAATTCTCGAGATGGGACACGCATACACGAGTAAGATATCAATCCTGTCATACTTGGTCCATTGCACATTGTATTGGAGAAATATACGCATACAAGGCATACTGTATAAATTTAAGTAAAGAATTCTAATAACAATACACACACACACGCAGAACTGTTTGCTCATCTTATTATTACTCGATTTCGCTTTAGGAACGCTTGACGCGGTTTTCTTTTCTTTTTTTTTCTCTCTTTTCTTTCCCCCGAGAAAATGGAAAGTACAAGCGCCGATCGTCAGCAACATGTGCAATCAGTGAGCGCGATCACGCATAACCGTCGACGCTTGCACGCATCTTCTGGAAATCCGTTCTTCATCCCCCGACCACGTCGAGTGCGACAAACAAATGTGTTAACGAAATGTAATTCGACGTTGCGCGAGAAATTATTTCCCCCCACCCCCCCTCGATTTAGAGAGAAAGATATGTGAATTCATCGCCGAGAGACTCGCCTGCCGGGAGGTCCTCTTCGTTCTTACACGTATTCGACCTTCGTCCCAAGCTCGCACTCCGATCAGCTCCAGACGGACGATAAACGTGCGATCGCCGAGGCGACGACGCCCGCCGCGCTCGCAATCTGAAGATACCAGCCGCCGCTCGGGACCGAGTCCAGGGGTCCACGTTAGATGCGAGACCGCGCGCAATCGGGGCTACGGAGGAGAGAGCGTTTTTCGACTCGCGTAACGATTAAGTGTCTTAACGTTAGCTCTTATTAGATATATATAAGTGCTTCGGATGCTGGTTTGCTAAAGTAATCAAATAAACTAACTGTACGATGTATATATTCGTTGACATATATCGATCGTGGTATATGCGTACGATAGGACTCTAAGTGATCATATCTTTCTCGCACCGCGCGTTCTTCTTACGTTCCTCTCGACTCGCACGTCCCCCGCGTGCGTCAAGTCCTCTCCCTCCTCGAGTACAACGTGTACATATTCCTGGTCGGACATGTTCGCGAGAGCGGATCGGCTCTTCCTTGTGGATTCCTTTCCCTCCTCGCTCTCGATAGTAAAAATTTCCCGAACGAGCGAACACGCGTGACACCTTCGTATTCTCTTCCCCTTTTTTTTGTATGCGTGAAATTTCAGCTTGAACAAGCCTGCAGCTTTACGGACGCGTCTCGCGATTGATAAATTGAAGCATGCATCGTTAAGGATTCCGTCACGTGGATTCATGGGCGGACGTTCCGCGGCTATTTCCTATCCTCGAACACGATCTTCCGAGACGTCGCGACTTCGCCTTCGCATTTTGCCCGATTCGCAACAAGATTACGCGCGGGAATTGTTAACGACGCGGATAGCACGCAACCGTCCGTTTACGACACGTGACAGAATCGACAGGGGTTTCCGACGCGTTGAAAAGAAGGAAAAAAAACCCGAGAGAATGGCACCGTCAAAAATGTGGGAACGATATGATGACCGATTAAACGCGAATTACATAAGTTGCTCCATTTGTATCCTCCCTCCCCAAGTTTCGCCGAATCGGCGCGATTCGCGCGCTCTCCCGTGCTATCTTAAGTAGCGAGAGAATTTTATATATCCGTAGAAAAGAAACGTCCTCCTTTTCACGCCCCCACCCGCCCCCATCCCCCTGCCGGGAGGCGTTTCTTTCCTTTGATTTTGATGAAAGTTGTTTTGTCTCGTAGAATAACCGTAGGAATAAGATAAGCATTTTACGATCGAAGAGGGCGAGATACGTGTGTATTAACTTCACCTGCGGCTCTCACGCAGCTCTCTCGATGGCGAGTCGGAAAATTAACGCAGACACACAAAGGTGTTTTGTACAAAGATCCTTTGGTTATGTATGTATAATAAAGTGACGTCCAGAAATATTGCGGGTGATTGTTCTTCCCCCAGATAGCACAAGACACTCCTATGAACGTTTGAAGAATATTCTTCAAGAACACTTGGAACGTTCCATAGGTCGTTCTTATACATTTATCTTACGTTCGTGGAACATTCGACCGGCACTAGTATAAATCTTTTTCGATTGTGAATAGAACAATCTATCGAATATAGCGTGTCGGTTATATATGGCATGATCACAGGTTTCACTGCCTTTTACATAAGATCAGTGTGTTACACAATAAACAATGTGCAATACATAAACTCGATGAATATTAAAAAATTATTCCGAACGAATATTTCAAAGACATTCTCGACGAATATTCTAAAAACGTTTTTCTTTGTTATAAATATACGATTTCTAATTGTAATGATCTATATATATTTTTAGAATATTCTGAAATTAAAGATACTTTCACTCCAGAAGAATATTCATAGAACTATGGGTGCTAATCTGGGTTTCGACGCGGCAGGGAGGCCCGAGTCTCGCGGAAAGACACGTCAACTTGACAATCGGCTTTTCGCGCGAAAAAGAAATCGCGTTTCCACCCTCTCGGGGACCTTTAAGCGTTTTTAGATTTATTTTTCGAAGACTCTGGCTCCTCATCGATCGAAGGCCAAACGGATCTTTCTTCCGACTTGCGAAACGTCTTTCTTTTTCAATCCATTTTCGTTCCAAAAACATTCTTAAGTTCGAATAGAATTCACTTTTGTATATCAATTAAAATCCGTGCTCCTTTTCGAACACAGAACGAATTCTTATTATATCCTATAAGAATTTAGACAAGAAACGAATACTTTCGGAGTTCATTTTGAAGATTACGCTGATTTATATAGAGTTTAAAAAAAGTAAATCTTTTCTTGAGCTTGTAACGATCCAGTAAACACCCGACAGTTACAATCAATATTATAACTTTCCACTCACAACTATCATATACTTAGATTACTGAGTGAGAAATTATAATACTGATATTATGTAACTGTTAGACGGTGTTTACTGGCAGTCACTTGTGCTATGTACATAATTAATCCCAACGACTGTTTTACAGGGTGCGCGTCACGCGTAAGCCACGCGCATAAAAATGAATGCGAGTGGCCTAGTATAAAAAACGTCTTTTAATAAATATCAATAGAAAAAAAAGTTACAGAAAATATCTACAGGGATTACAAAATGTCGATATATAAAATTACATTTCCCGCAACGTAATTATCTAGGACCCTTACTGTCAATGTAAACTATCTAATCGTAAAATTAGCCTTAATAGTAATATTATGATCTCTATCGCTAAAGGTAATCGTAATACTCTTCATTGCGACACCCGATTGAGAAATATTGTCGATTTTCATAGTTCCGTTCGCGCGCGCATCCCCTCGCGCGTCAGTAATAAATAGTGCACACAATCTAACGATGAGAAATTCTGGGCGGCGAGTTGTAACGACAAAACGACGAGTCCGAAAAATACAGATTGCCCAGATACGGGACAGTCTTCGACGAGTAGAAGGAAACGAGATTTCTGCAGAAAAAAAGGAAGAGGGACCAATATTCGCGAGTACGAAACGAGTTCTAGATTACAAGGCACTAGTAAGAACTCAATTGTCACTCTCTTTCCAAGTACCTCGCGGATAGTGAAAGAGCTTTATTTGTCGTAATGTAGGACTAGCAAGATATACAGGGTGTACCACCGCTATGGCATTGTCCTGATTTCTAATGTTCTATCCTTCGTCCGTATCGTACAATTTTGCAATTTTTGATGTCGTGCATCTTTTGAATCAAGCCTTAAAGTTAAAATTCTATCAAGATTTATTTACGAACGTGAAATATTGCTCGCTAACCATCTCTTCTCTTAACACGGAAATTTTTCTAAAACCTAATTAAATAAACTTTTCTCAAATCGCTCATCTTCTGTCAATGCTCCGATATTTCTGCCAAAAGAAAACAATCTGAAGGTGGCCAAAAGTTTCATTACTGATATATTAACCCGATAGAAGTGAAACGCCCTGTATATGAGAGATTGAAGCGTTTATTTATCGAAGTTGCGCGTTTGCTCGACCGTACGGGTATACAAGCACCGTCAGAGTCGCGTTTGAGATTTTCTAGAATACTACGTTCGATAAAGAGAATTGTAACAACTCTCCGGTTACACAGGAACATTCGTATGTGGAGTCTTTATGCTTCGAACTTGTCACGACTCTAGATCATTTCTCTTAATTGTAACGCTTGTATACAGAAAAGATGCTCTCTTTGGGATATTCTCTATGTACAACGCGATAGCCGTAGTTTCGCGCTTGAATGAGAAAGAGCGACTGCATTCTTCTTCCTTTCGTCCAAAACTGTAATCTTGCCTCAAAGCACACGATAGCCCGTGTATCGTTTCTCAATTCCGGGAAATACTGCGAATATAGTATACACATTTTATCATTAAATTGCGATCCTAATCGGGTGACGTTTCGTCATCGTCGTAGTGCGACATGTAGATATATGTATATCGTAAGCCTGAGATTTAATAGTAACTATATCTCTTTGCTCAAGAAAACCTGCGCAAGTAACACATGTAATTTACATCGAGCGTGCATGTCTTCCACAAAAGTTTCTTTGAGCAAATCGCAGTGCCATTTTCTATTTGCGATGTGTGAAAAAATCGCGTTCTGTCTAATCCCGATGCTTATAAATTCATACAATATTAAACGAGCGCCACAATTATTTGCGTTCGTATTTAACAGTAGATATATTCGAACGATGAATGTGGTACGAATTGTGTGATTTGCCTTGCTCGAGAAGTCAGAGATTCAATAAACAATTCATAGTACACAAATTCCTTAAGTAATCGATACGACACGTATTGATTATTACGGGAATTCAGAAGTAAAACGCGCCATATAGCGTCCTTATAAATGTGAAAAAATTTTCACGGCGCGAAGGCGCCAAGTTGTTCCCCCGAATAACAATAATGCAGATACAAGTGACGCGAGAATTTCCTTTTTAAAAACTAATTTCGTCGTATCGCGACGATTCCCAAGTTCGAGGAAACTTAGAACCAGATAAACTCGAATTTATTTGCGATCGCCGATTAAACCAGAGCCTCGGCATGATAGTGATGATAGTGATGGTGTATGTGCTCGTGGACGTGCCTGCGGCCGGACGTGGCCGCCACCGCGTTCTGCGAGAATTCACGTTCGAGCCAGCGCACGACCTGCGCCATCGCACGGGCCTGATCCTGCTCCCGCGTGGCGTGCTTCAGCTGATGCTTCTTGCTCGGTCTGCCGCTTTGCTGCCCGTGGACGAATTGCGTGTCGTTGCGCTGCAAGTTGCTGTGATTGTTGGTGATCGTCTGATTAGCTGTCTGCTGGTTATTGTTGGGCACGAGGTTGACGATGTTGCGGTGAGCGTTGTTGCCGCCGCCACCGCCGCCGCCGCTGGTGGTGTGCTGCGGCGTGTCGTTGTAGACCGTCGTCGGGGCGAGTACGTTACGATTCAGTATCTGCGTCGCGGGTAAGGAATACGCCGCGTAGGTCTGGGGAGAGGAATGTGTCGCGTTGTTCCTCGGTGTCGCGTGCCGCGTCTTTCGGAGGTTCGCCGACCGCGATTTGATCGGCGTTTTGGGAAACGACACGGAATGATGAGTGCTCTCCCGGATTGGTTTGTGATAGTTGACGGCCGCTTGACGGGGCTCCAGAGATGTGGGGCAATCCTGATTGTTGTGATTCAAGTTTTCTAGATGGGGACTGTGAGACAGAATGCGCGCTTGTTCGTTTTGGTGCCGTTTCCTGCGGAACGAAAGGATAAATTCGATTTACAGCCATCGCTCGAGACGTCCTTTCGAAGAGTTTGTCTGTGTAAACATTATGTAGCCCTAATCTCGATAAACGAGAAGAATACTGCATTTAAAAAACTGGAGAATCTAATGAATTATAATATTCGAGGATATATTAAAATATCGCGCTAATTCAAGGAAGAATTGTAATTGTCAATTACGTATACATACGCAAAGTCGTGATGTCGATGAAATTTCAACATGCGCTAATTTTGCAAAGCTGACCGCGGCAATTAGCTCACCTTGATGTGTGAAAACTGAGATTATTTTTTTCCATGTTGGCCTGAATAATCTCCAGCAATTGTTGCCTTTGTAGGGCGCCGCTGCGTTTCCGCTGATTCGTCGTAAGAAGCGGCGTTAATGGCGAGAACGCGGGGGAAGTGTCACTATCATCGCTCACATCACCCTCCGAGCTGTTTGAATAGGGAGATGGTAAATGGGGCACCGGACCGACTCTTCTACGTAGCTCCTCTTGCTGCACTCGATTCGTTCGGGCGTTCTCGTCGTCGTCCTCGCTGTGGGTCTCCACCTCTTTTCGCTCGGTCTGCAATGGAGATCCGAAATGGCGAATAAACCAAAAGTAATTAGGTAGAACGCATATAATTTACAAAATGACAGACGCAAATACGTTTCGTTATTTGTGTCGCGAATGTTAATGAGGGCACGAGCCACTTTCGCAGGACGAAAAAGCTCGCGTGTTTCATTAATGCTTCGTTACAGTTAATCCGAGGGGGAAACCGCTGACCAAAATCTTGTACACCAATGCCCACTAATGCCCAGTGGGCATTACTTTATCTTATTTTATCTTTACAATGCCCCAGCGAGGCCTAATGCCCAAACTAATGCCCCAAAGAATGCCTAGTAACGCCTACACGGAAAAAAAAATCTGGTAGATTCAACCGATCGTCTGTTAGAAATCAGACGAATCAGAGTTCCTTTAGGATTTACCAGATATGTAGTGAAGTCTAGCAAACTTCTGGTTATGAAATATCGAGCTCCACCGTGCTAACTAGAAATTCTGTTTGGTTTAGCCAAAATACATTCCATCATACATGGTCTTGTTGATACAATCGAAGCATTTTTCTCAGTGTAGTAATGTCCAGTAATGCCGCAAATCTGTACACCACAATGCCCTCAGCGGTTTACCCCTCGAGTTAATCGAGTCAACGTGCAAAGTGAACAATGGTTTTATAAGCTCAAAAGTAGTAAAACTCTTGTACGGCATTCGTAGCCGGATCTTAAATTCAAGACCGTCTTGAACTTATCTAAAGACGCTGCTGGCTACGGAGTATCTAAAAAAAGATGATCTTGAGACAGACCCGAACGTAAGATCCGACTATGAATACCGGAGGCCTACGTGTCGGTGCACGAAATCTCGCGAGAAGCGCGCATTTATCTCTTCGTTCTCACGTCTCGTCGACCGGCATCCCGGCGTGTCGCGCCAGCGCATGGCTCGGATGTCGGAGTGCCGCTCGGTCCCGAGGTGCGCATACGTAACGCGGCTCGCACGAGGAATGTAGGTCTCACCTGACAGCGATACCGCGTCGCTCGCCTCCTTCTAGGCACCCTGGCCGCGCCGTGGCGAGCGGCGGTGGCCGCAGTCGCGTGGTGGCCGCACGGAGCGACGTGCTTCAAATGGCAGCAGGACGACGGGCCGTTGTGCTGGTGACCGGGCAACGTCGTCGCCGCGGCCTGGGGCGTTTGCGTGGCATTTAGGCAGGCGCCGGCGGCGTTGCGCGGAACCTGGCTGCTGCTGCTGCTCGCCCGCTGATCCGGCGACACCGTCAGCTTCACCTTGATCGTCTTGCTGCCGCACGGCGGCACCTGTATCGAGGCGCCTAGCGTGTCGTAAATGGTCGTCACCAGACCGGCTATGTCGTCCTTGGTGATCTTGCCGTGCCCGTCGAAGTCGTACAGAGTGAACGAGAACTCCTGCCGCCGCCTGTCGCCCTCCGCGACCGACACGTCGCACTCGAATTCCTGCAACGAAGAACGAGCGGTCAGGCGCGGATCAGGAGAGACGTAAAAACAACGTCTCGGATGCGTGACCGTGATAATTACGGATAGCGCAGCCGCGGCGCGTTGAGGGAGGTCTTACGGTTAATCGCAAGGAGATAGCGCGCTTGAAAAAATTTCTTACAAATATTGCACATTCCTCTCTCTCTCTCGTTGATGCAACACCGGCGCTTCTCTTCGCAAAACCACCGATTTTCACAGTAAAATGAGGTTCAAATTTTTATCAGTGCAGGCTATCTCATTCTTCTACGATCGTAGAGTCGAGATAGCCCAAGTTTCTCACTCGCTCGCAGGAATTTAACGAACTCTTATGGCCGGTCTCTGATTACAGGGTCTCTAGGTTTCACCGACGTCGCTTAACTTTAAACGTAGTTTAATTCGTTCTTTGTCTCATTCCAACTGTTACTCAGAAAGAGGCAAAGAACGAATTAAGCTTAGCTTCGAGTTCACAGAAGCGTGAGAGCTAAACAACGTTGGTGAAACCGGGCCTTAATGTTTTGATACAACAATTTACGACATTTATTAGGGCTGTATGTTTAAAAAATGTAACATAAAACACAACGTAATATTAAAACAGCATGGGAGTGCAAGTTACTGAAATTACATACAATTTTCAGGCTATAGAAGCAGTAAAATGTCTAAAAAAAAGTAAACAGAAACTAGTCTTAGGCATAAATCTCTTTGGTTTAGGATACAACATTGACGTTAGAAATGTTTGCTGAGGAAAATTGCGATTTTTCACGTTATTCGGGCGCTATTTTGCGTGTCATTTTGCATTTTAAAAACATGTTAAAACGAAGTTGGGGACTCCAAAGTGTAAAGAAATGACGTTGAAAACGTTCGTGGGGCATTTTGCGATATTTTGCGTACAAAGATAACATCGAAATGTCACACCTCTATACATTAGAAATATCCTACACTCCTCTCTCGATTTGTGTAATGTACACCGGCACTGGTTGAAAAACTTGTCATTACGAAATACTCGTAACGCGACGCCGTTTCCTAGCGAACACCGAGCATCAATTACATCGCATGTATATCACAATTTCTCACTCGACAGCGTAAATGTAATATAACACACGTGTTATGTCGATTGATCTCTTTCGCAAGGTCGTATCGCGATTTTACGCGGTTTCCGGCTTTTCCGCATAAAGGCTCGTTACCGGGCTCGAGCATGAATCTTTTCCTCTAGCGTGAACTCGTGAAAAGATTCATTGAAGAATTCAATATTCGTCAGTGAAATGTTTCACTTTCCCTGATCCTAAATGGAGCGTTCAAGGCCGGTACTCGTAGTCGGATCTTATATTCGGGACTGACTCAAGATCATCTTCGGATGCTCCGTAGCCAAGGAGATGTTCCGTACAGTATCTTCGGATAAATTCAAGACGGCCTTGAACATAAGGTCCGACCGTGAATACCGGCCTAAGCAGAAAAATCGGAAACTCTTGCGAAAGAGATCGGTCGATCTACATTGTTGGGCGAGGAACTGCAACATAAATGCAACGTGATTGACGCTCGGTGCTCGCTAGTTACCAGTAAATTATTACCTTAACTTATTACAGGAAACGTCCTCTATCGCGAGATAGGTTTCTAATTCGAGACAGCAGGCTTTCAACACTCGCGAATCTTCTCTCGCAACGATCGCACGATCTGACAATTTTCGCACCAAGGGCAAAACTCACGGCACGGAATCGACAGACGACGCCCATTAATTCGACGGGGACCCCCGCTATCTCGTATTAGGCGCCCGCCGCATAGGGGACTCCCCTCTACGCAAAACGAAGCGCGCGTCTCACCTCGAAACTAAGCTGCTTCGTCGTGCCGCGAGTAGGCTGTTCATCATTGCCGGCGGGTCCTGCGGGCACGCCCGAGCTGTCGGCCTGCGCCGACTCCACGGGGGAAATTAAAATCGGCTGCGCCTCCGTCGTCGTCGTCGCCGCCGTCGTCGTCGTCGTCGTCGTCGGCGGTGGCGAGACGTTGCAGGCCGTCGGGACGCCCGTGAGCAGCTCCTCGGAATCGCTACCCTCCGTGTTGGTCCCTACGACTGAACAGACAACGGAGGATTCGTTACAGCGGGGAACGGCTTCGTTCTCGACCTACGACGGCGTGTCCTTCTCTCGTTAAAGCGCGCGCGAAAGAACCGAGATCCAGACTCGTCGCGGGGTTGTTTTTTTTTCCCTTTATCCCGTCTTGAGGGGCGGGAAGGGGGAGGGGGGGAGGCAATTATTCATATCGTCTTATTGTACAGATATCGACGTGCAAACGCGCGATTGGGCGCGGCGCGATCCGGGAAGCCGTTCTCCCGGTCGCCCCGCTCGCTTTCCCGTCGCGCACGATCGCGATTTCTGCCCTCGGGCCGCGAGAGAGGCAGAGGAGCGAATAAAAGGCGGCATTTAACACGCGCCGCCGCGGCGACCGACCGGTGGCGTGTTTGGTGCACGGACGGTATTTTTACGCTTCCCCGCGCCGACAGTCCGTTCCATCGGGGAGGAAGCCTCTCCGGTGACTGGTATATAACCGAGGGGGGAGAAGCAGCTGGAATTCTAACCAGAAACCGTCCGAATCTCGATGCCGCGAGGGTTCTTTTTCTTTCTTTTACGCGCTTTTCGACCCCGCGAGGTCTCCATTTTCCCAATTTCGGAGAGAACGTGTGCTATTCGCTGTACAGGAAAAAAAAAAGAAGAGAAAACCGGAAAAATCCCCGCGTTTTTCGCGACGATCAAACGTGCCTTCTGCGGTTACACAGGAATCGTCGCCGAACCGGGTACGATTTTCAGAATCATTCGTTTCTTCTCCTCTCGAAAACGGAACATTCGCGCAACGAATCCTTTATCCACGTTTCTCGCGAGCTCTTTTCAGGAGACGTCGAGTTTGTAGAACGGGTTTTGCGTCCATTTCTATCAATGCAGATTAACTTTCATCTCGTTTCTTTCTCCTTATCTTCTTTCTAGTTCGCGAGGCCTGGTTTCACCAACGGCACTTAACTTTAAGCTCGGCTTAATCCATTCTTTGTCCCTTTCCGTTGCTATAGAATTAAACTAAGATTAAAGTCGAACGCCCGAGGCTCGGTTTCACCAATGTCGCTTAACTTTAAGCTCAGTTCAATACGTTCCTTGTCTCCTTTCAACTGTTACTTTAGTAAGAGACAGACGTGAATTAAACTGAGATTAAAGTTAAGCGACGTTTGGCGAAACCGGGCCTCGCGAACTAGAAAGAAGATAAGGAGAAAGAAACGAGATGAAAGTTAATCTGCATTGATAGAAATGGAGTTGGAAAGAGATGGAAAGTAACTTAAACCGAGATCGAAATTAAACTACACCGGTAGAAGAACATTAGGGCCAGTTTCATAAACGTCGGTTAACTGTTGACCAGAGTTTAGTCAACTCCCTATCTTTTGCTATCTTATTATCTAAAAAGAGACAGAGAATCAATGAAAAGATTAGCAGTTGACCGTTTGCGAAACTCGCCCTTAGTCCCGGTTTTACAAGCGTCGCTTAACTGGAATCTCAGTTTAATTCGTGTTCGTCCCTTTCTCGGGTAACAGTTGGAAAGAGACAAAGAACGAATTAAGCTAAGCTTAAAGTTAAACGACGTTGGTAAAACCAGGTCTTAGTCCCGGTTTCACAAACGTCGCTTAACTGGAATCTTAGTTTAATTCGTGTTCGTCTCCTTCTCAGGTAACAGTTGGAAAGAGACAAAGAACGAATTAAGCTTAAGCTTAAAGTTAAACAACGTTGGTGAAACCGGACCTTAAAGTTGAAGGTCTGAGCGCGGCGCCGCGCGAGGGACTGCAGAAAAGTTGACGTTTCTCTCGATTCTCGAATTGCAAATACGATTCTAAGGCCCGAGGTCTCTCCAGCGTCGCTTAACTCGTAAGCTCAGCTTGATTCGCTCTTTGTCGCTCTCCGCCCGTTCCGTTCTAGAGAGAGACAGACGTGAATTAAACTAACAATAAGATTAAAGTTAAGCGGCGGACCTGAGGCCCGGTTTCACCAAACGTCGCCTAACTTTAATCTAATTCACGTTTGTCTCTTTCTAGAGTAACCGTTGGAAAGAGGCAAAGAACGAATTAAGCTAAGCTCAAAGTTAAACAACGATTGCGAAACCGGACCTAAGGAGATTCCAGACTACGCTCGGGTCGTGCGAGTTTTACCGCCGCTGTATCATACTCGCCGGTCCGTTTTCAGCGAACTCGTATGCGAAATCGTCGTGCGAAGAGCCGCAACGTCGGCTCCGGAGTGGAAAAGAAAAAATTCGACGTCGTCAAGCTGCACCTACCGTTTCCCGGATTCGCGTGTCCGCGGCGTGTCTCGCCACGAACGGCATTTCGTCTCTCGGATACGTCCAGAATCGCGAACCTTCGGTTTTATCGTCAACCATTGTGTAATGGGCCGTAAACTCGTCCCAGCTAACGGGCACGGAGCGCGGATGCGCGGGGCCGGCTGTTAAACTCGGACTCTCGACAAAGACGCGTACGCGCTTTCGCGCTTTACGTACGTGCGTAAGGATAAATATTACATTTGTATGCGTAAGAGTAATTACACTTGCCGTACGAGAAACTTTTTAAGCGTATCGATCGGCCTTCACGGAATGTGAAATTTCTACACTGCTAAATTCGACTCGACGAGCAGTCGCTACTGTGCCCACTCAATATGTCGTTACTTTTAACTATCGCGCGTGGTAAAATTTGTTATTTTAATTATAAACGCGTAAACAACATCTTAACTATATGTTATTGCGAATAGTATTATCACAGCCCCAGTGGTCGAGCTGGTAAGACGCCTGTCACGGATTGAGGGAGGTCCCAGGTTCGAATCCTGGTTGGGGTAATATTTTTCGCAATGAGAATTTAATGCCAGATACGGTCAATAAAAATCACTGATGTTGTTAATTACTGCTGGCGACTTTTAAGAGTATTCTTAATAGTTTGTTATTTTAATCAAATACAATTCATAAGGCTCTGACGTGAAATAACAAATACGAAGTAACAAAGGATGTAAGAGCCAAGACAGACTGTTTGAAGATTTCAAGTTGAAACGAACTACATCGTTTATTCAACTTATTTTACGGCTTCTTTTGACTCCGTTGTTCAATTGAACTAACGACTTATCGAGTGGCGATCACTGAGCCAAATTAACACTACAAATTTACTGCGTAGGGTGACTCCAGAACTTTTGTATCCCGCGGCCATTCGATGTGCTTGAAAAATTTGTCGCGCGACGAATTTTTCGAGCGCGTTGAATGGCGACGGGACAGAAGAGTCCTCGAGCCTCTAGAAATTTTCTATTTTGCAGCCAGCCGACACGCTTGGGAAATTCGTGCGTCAGGTGTAACAGTATCTTAAAGTCCGATTGTTCCAACGTCAGGCAACTTTTACCCTTCAATTAACATCCTTCGTCTTTTTCTCTCAAGGGGCACCAAAGGGCAAAAAGTTACGGTTGGAACAATTGACCCCAAGGCCCGGTTTTTCACTTTCTAGTTAACTACAGGATGATCGATTCTCTAGCTTTTTTCTATATTATTCTCTAGGGACCGGCAGAGAATCGACTAACCTCTGGTTAACGGTTAACCAGAAAATGAAAAATCGAGCCTACGAGGGACACATCCACCTTCGACACTCGATACCTGCCACCACCGTGCGCGAAAAACCGACGACGAATATTCGTGTCAAGTTGCAGCTCGACGAGCGATCGTTAATCTTTTTTTTTTCCTCAAATTGTGCGGGTACAATGCAGAGAAAGAGATGCGTCCCAAATCTATTAGTCTACGTCGGTTTGACGTTTCTCTCGTTAGGATTTTCCTACAACTTATTATTATCGATTGAACTTGATATAACGCATATCTATTTCGAGGGAGTTAATAACTTATTCTCAACAATTCGCATTAAGCGAATAATTTCAATAATTATCTCAGAGACGCGGCTGCTGCATTTAAACGAGATATCGAGACTCGTGGGCTGCTTCGTACGTTTCGACCTGATTTCGAGGATCCTCTCGCACTCATTTTCAGATGCTATCGTTAACGCAAATCGTATGAAGTTAAATACAGTAGAAATAATAATTAGAGGAGTCCCTTATTACGAGATAAGTTCCTGAAATAAGATAGCGGAGTTGCTGCTAAATTAATAGGCATCGTACGTCCAGTCATGGTTTTATTGCCCTTGGAGTGAAATCCGTTTAGTGGAAAATTCATCGTTAACTCGCGTAATCGTCGCGAAAAAAAGATTTGCGACCGAATTTCGACGTTGGAAACCTGCTGTCTCGTATTAGCAGCCTATCTCATAATAGGGGCCTATCCTCTGTTAAAGAGGACAAATCACAAGTTATTTGACTGAAGCTCGTAAAACATTTTGCATGTATAATCGTTTAAGAAAAGGGCATAAATTGCCGCGTGTAAACAATGTTTTCTACATAATTGAGATTCAGCTGATTGCGAGTCGCGACGGGAAATTGGAGAACCGTGGGTGAGAAGGGGCCGCGAGTAATTTCGTTGTCACCGAGCGCACGCACCGTAATTTCCGCGCTATTTTCAACGACGCGTTACGGAGACAAGCGTGTACGGACTGTAGACACAGGCCGAAAGCTAAGAAAGGTATGACGTAAGGCCACGTGGTATCCGCCTCGATAACATCTTGGCGTTATCCACCGCCGACGCGACGGTCACTCTTTTGCGGCAGCATGATTGATCCCTCAGACGGCACCGTCTGAGACGCTCATCTCGCATCCTTTTTCTCGCCACGTCACTTTTCCGTTGAAACCTTTCCGAACCTTCGCTCTTTATCCACTTGTTTGGCTTTCCCCTGGTGTACCCGACTGTCGTTTTTCTTTTACCTGGGCGAAATTTACTCAAAACTTTAGCAAAGGGGCCCAGAAACAGCCTTGTCTTTGTCAGGAGCACATTTTATTACTAAAAGGGAGATATCGCGGCACATTAAATTTCCAAGTGTTTCCTCTTGTGTTTCTATCTGTTTTCAGAAAAGTATCTGATAAGAAAATGACCTAAAGAGCAGTTTACTGATAAATGGGTTTTTTTTAGATTACCTCGACAGGTATATCTTTTGAGGCGTAAGCTTAAAACGTGTAAGAAATTCTATCACGTCGACACAGGCAAAATTTCTTCGGAAACAATCAGAATTTTAACGGCGTTGAAGTTAAGCGTTTAAAACGGGGTTTATCGAGTTTTACGAAATGTTCGCGCGATAATTATTCCCGCGTTTCATAATTAAATCGCGGTGCTGCGATAACTTCTCGTATAAAACGCGATTATATATTTGGGTTTGTTTCAGACGTAGAGAAACTAATTAGTCGAACGTTCCCTCTCGCCGCGAGGGTGAAACGATTGAACTAAATCGTATCCCCGCTGTTTGAATAGAATTTTCACGTCTAATTGTGACAAACGATCAACGACGGATTATTGGCACGATAATCTGTTCGCGAAGCCGGCGCGGTGTTCCTTTCAAATTGTTCGTCATATCTGTAATTATATCTGCTGCAACTGTATCGCGTTTACGAAATGTTACCAGCGCCATGATAGCAACGCGATTTAATTATGATAAATCCGTCTTAAAGAATTCCATTCACAATGCGGAACGTACACTGAAAAAAACAATCTGATAGATTCAACCAGTCGTCTGTTAGAAAATAGACGAATCAGAATTCCCTTTAGGACCTACCAGATTCGTGGTGAAGTCTAGCAGACTTCTGGTTATGAAATATCTTTCGTGGTAAATTCTAAAGGAATTCTGATTCATCCATTTTCTAACAGACGACCGATAGATTGAATCTATCAGACTTCTTTTTCAGTGTATAAATTTTTAAAGCAACAAGGGGGTCAATTCGGTATTTTACAGCGAACTCGGTTGCCTGCACTAGTGCGCACTGACAAGGGGACTATCAGGATTTGTCCTCACCCATTTTAACGAGCTTGATACATGTTGCAATACTACCCTTCCCTTAACGACAGGTAAAGCCATTCGACCCAACTCTCAGGCATTCGCGAGAAAAGTTAATTTAAAGTTCTCCACATTACGTATGTACAAAGTCGCTACACGAATTTTCAGCGGGCTTCGGTCAACTCGGTATCTTACAGCGAATTCGGTTGCTTGCACTAGTGCGCGCCGATTGTGAGTGCACGTTAAGCTTATTTGCAGTCAATTCTCATATTCAAGAATCGTCCTAAATATCCTTCGAAATATTTTTTTTAGCCGGCAAAACGATCTGTACAACATCCATACGAATCGCTTTTTGGCCAAGTGCTCTTTGAACAGGTACTTTTAGGACAAAGTTAAATTGTAAGAATTGATGTAAACAAGACTTAGTGTGCACTCAAGTGCGCACTAGTGCAAGCAACCGAATTCTGTTACACCGCGGTGAAAATGCCAAGAGCGAGCAGCTCTGTTTCTTTCTAACTGTCCCCTTGGGAGACAAAGCCGTTCACTTTCAGCATGTTCACTGTAGCCTTGTTTTCTATTGCACTGGTGAAGTGCAGTAAGCTAGAATGAAAAAAATACAGAGTCCTCTATTACAAGATATGCTGCTAATATGAGACAGAGCGGCTGCTGCTAAATTAACAAGCGTCCTCCGTCGATTCCACCAAGAATTTATCGCGCTTGGAGTCTGTTTAATAAAAAAAAATTATTATGCATTGCGCATATAATCGTTGCACAAATAACTAAAATTGTATGGTGAAAACTCGCCATCTCACATTAGAGATCCTTTTCCCTCTACTTGTCTTTAATTTGTCTCACCAGTTTCGCCAGTGCGGCGGTCGAAAACAAGGCTTACGTTATAGGACACAGAATTGATGCCGAGGTGTACGTACACGCGCGGTTTACCGTTTCCAACCCGTAAACGAGCTCCGACGGAAAACCGAGAGATTCGCCCGCGGAGCGTTAACGGCGTAAAATTAAGCGCGCTCTTGAATTAACGGCGCGCCGTTTCCCCGCGGCCTTTTCACGGTCGAATCGAGCGCAGCCCAGCTCGCCTCGGATATCGCAGCGTGCGTCCCGAAAGGAAGGAGCGATCATTACCAGAAAAGGGTCTGTAGCCAGCGAGGAACCTTGCTCGCCACCACTTTACCAATCCGGTAGCCATGGGACCTTCATGCGTGCGTGCGTACGTGCGTACGTGCGTGCGTGGTGCGTGCGTACGCGGGTGCGCGTGTGCGTGCGGCGCGCGCGCGGCCGCGCCGCGATCCCCCCGCGCTGCGAGCCCCCGCTCTCGAGTCGGCGGCACACTTTGTTCCTCCTCCGTGACTACCGACACGCCGCCCTGGATGCATATACGGGGTTATACACGCCGTGCCCTCTCTCCCTCGGTACTTCCGGTTAGGCGCAGCTCCCCGCGCCCCTCCGTGCTCGATCTGTCATCCGGCGGCGGTGTCCGTAAACGCGCACTCGGCTCGCCCTTAGGTGCGGACCGTGGAAATTCCGTGCGAGCGTGAGCTCTCTGTGTTGTTGTCGCCGTCGCCGTCGTCGCACACTATACGCACGTGCTCGCCAAGCGAACAGCGAGCCGGAAAACGCCGGACGCCGAGCAGCCTCTCTCACGGCACTCGCTCGGGAACGTCGCGCGGCACTGCCGGATGGAGGGCCGTGTGCGGTCTTGCCGCTCGCGCATCGAGGCGATAGGCGCACGAGGTTCGCGAGAAAAACCTCAACCTCAACCTCCACCACCGCCACCACCGCTCTTTCTCCGCGCAGGTACAAACCCGCCCCGTCTCGCGGCTCGGACACGACTACGGCCGCTCGTCCTCGCCAGTAAAAGCACGCTCCCCGTAATTCCCCTACCTACCCGCGCGCCATGTCCCACCACCACTACCACCGCCGCCGCGCTGTGCTGTGTGTCGGCACGGCACGGCACCGTCGTCGCAGCAGCAGCCCAGCAGCAGCAGCAGCAGCCGCCGCCGCCGCCGCCACACCATCGTACCAGGCGGGCAAGCAGCCTGTATTCCTCGGTTCGTCGTCGCCCAGTGCCGAGCCGAGGATACGCGAATCCCGAAGGTAGGAGGCGCGGCGGCGGCTCTTCAACCTCTACCTCCTCTTATTTTCTCCTTCTCCTTTGCATACCCGTTCGCCAGAGAGCCGTCTTCCCGCGAGAATCTCGCGCGCGGCGTGAAGCCCCGTTTACACGACCCACAACTGTAACAGTACTCTCCCGTCCGCGTAATTACCAACGCGCACCGCGTGCGCGGTTCAAACTTTTTTTCAAATTCGCGCGTTCCTCTCCGCACGTACGAGAGAGGTACTCTGCCTCCTCCTACTCCTCCTCCCGCGTTTCCCCCACGCGGCTTCCCCCGAGAGGCAAGTATGCGCCGGAGCTAACGAGATGAAGTTTTAATTCGTCGTCGGAAACTCCTTCGCGAATCTTAGAGGGATCCTCTTTAGAGAGCCGCGCTATTTTACTACGTTGATCACTGCAGTATCGTTTCTTCAACTCGATCGATCTCCCCCGGGGATCTCGTCGATTAATTTTTGATCGCGTGGAACGGACTTGAGGACGAGGAAGGACCGAGTTGCGAGATGCGAGAGGAGACGCCGTCAATCTCGAGGGCTCGAACGCGAGTCTCCCGTTTGCCGATCGTCCACGATCGGCTGAGCGACAATCGACTTCCGTTATCCTCCAAGTCAACCCGAAACCGACCTCGTGCGTTCATCGAACTCGCACCGGTTTATCGCGTCGAGAGACGCCGATCTTTGACCGTCGCCGAGGATTGCCAACTGGAGGAAGTGTCGCGTGGAACGGACTTAAGGCAGGATCCAACTTCGCGGTTACTCCGAGTTTCGATGCGAGAGGGGACGCCGTCAATCTCGAGGGCTCGAACGCCAGTCTCTCGTTTGCCGATCGTCCGCGATCGCTGAGCGACTTCCGTTATCGTCCAAGTCAACCTGCCTTCCGAAAATCAACCTCATTTCAACTCGCGCCGGTTTACCGCATCGAAAGACGTCGATCTTTGATCCGTCGTGAAGGAAGTCGCGTGGAACAGACTTAAGGACGAGGAAGGACCAACTTTGCGGTTACTCCGAGTTTCGATGCGAGAGGAGACGCCGTCAATCCCGAGGGCTCGAAAGCGAGTCTTGTTTGCCGATCGTCCACAATCGCCGAGCGACAGTCGACTTCCGTAAAGGCCCGCGCCCACGAGGCCTAGAACTTGGTCCAAGTTCCAGTTCCGAGAAACGTGTAGCCAACCAACTTGTAGCTTTTGTGGAATAGCTGCAAATTGATTGGCTACACGTTTCTCGAGACTAAACAGTGGACACAGGCCTTTATCCTCCAAGTGCGTCAACCTGCCTTACGAAAACCGACCTCGTTCGAACTCGCGCCGATTTATCGCGCTCTCGTCGAAAGGCGCCGATCTTTCACCGTCGTCGGGGATTACCAACTGGAGGAAGAGATGATTTTCCAAAGCTCGTCTTCTCAAATCGCCAACCTTGGATTTCACGCAATTCTTTGTTTGCATAAAGTGATCGTCAGATCGCTACTCGAGAGATTCCAATACCTGTATTGCGCGTAAACTTTATTCTCAAAGCGAAATCTGTCATATAAATTATATCGTGACGATTTGTCACGATGTCACAATAATTGATCATTGTGCTCTTCAAATTGTCGTTTCGTTCATTAATTCGTAATCCGGCTTTCCCACCGACTACGATGATAAATAAAGAAAAATCAAGTTGGACGTACCTCTCGTGGCACACTGGCGTAAAATATGACACTATTTATCACGGAAAAATTGACCCTGAATTATAGTGATCACGCGCGTTACAGTAATCGCCCGAGTTTAACGACGGGTGCTCGAGAATCGATAACCAAAAGATTGAAATTCGTTATTTCGCCATCGTCCCGAATATTCGCGCGGTAAATAATGACCCTCCCCCTCCAGCGTGTGTAAAATTACGCGCGGAGAAACTCGATCGCGCGATTGTTATTGAAGGAAAGAAAAAAGGAAAGAGAGAGAGAGAAAGAGGAAACCCTACGCTTCCGGCCTACTTCCGCCGTAAAAATCGATACTCCCCACCCCCCTCCCCCTTCAGTCATTGAGATCACTTCGGTGTTTACGTCGACGACACGCACGTCATCGTTCACGGACGCGCGGTCGTGTTGTTTCGACGCTTCAATGAATCACGGAGTCGGGGACGGAGGGGGGAGGGGGGGCAGGCGAGGGGAGACGGCGACGACGAGGACGGGGTGGAGCGATCGAGGGGGACGCGGGTGACGGGCAAATTAGAGAAATGCGCTCCGATTTCGCATTCCTCCCTTCCCGCACGGGTGGGACGCTCTTTATTTACGTTGCCTCACCGTAGGCGCAACCCGCGCGCCTCGCGCAGCACTCGCCCCCGCTGCGCAATACCGCGGCACTCGGAAAGCCCCGTCCGTGTCAAATCGGAGATACTCTTTTTGGAGACTGTACCCGCACGCTATTATCTCCTAGCGGTGTTTCAGAAGAAACATAGGCGTCGCCGCCGACGGGGTCGCTCGGGCCCTCGTTTCGGGGGATTCCCTCCGTCCCCTCGTCCATCCTTCTCCTCCTCCTCCTCCTCCCTCCCCCCCTCCCCCACGCCCCGTCGACCGGACGTCCTACTAACGTGCCGTGCGCTACCGTTGGCGGCGTGCGCTCGATCGAAATGAAAAAGAGAGGAGAAACAATTAACTTGGCCAAAAAACACGACAGGCCGCCTTTTGTACGCGACGTCCCGCGCTGACTGCGTAAGCGCGAAATTAAATATTATACGTCGCGAGATACATATATACCGACACCTCTACGCTTTTACATAGTCCCTCGTCAGTCCCTTCTCACGTTCTACGGCGTAATACGAGTTCAAAAAATAAACTGCCAGATCACATCTTTGTACTGCGTGTGTAGCTTTTGTCAAGCGGCCGCCCGCTACTGAATTCTCGCGCGACGAATAATAAAGATCGGGATCGGGTTATCTTGTTTTAAATTCTTCGAAGGTAGAAGTGCACGTATGTGCGGGAGACATTAGTTTCGTTGAAAAGTCACTTCTCTTCAATTGATACGCGGTGTTGTTCGAGCGATAAAAAAGGAGCGTCGCGATATTAAGGACGATTTAGAGAGTGTTCTACCTCAAGTTGGAAACAATTATTAACGTCACCTTCGCTTCTTTCCTTGTCAATTTATTAGACGCTATTTTCTTCATTCAAAATCAAATCTTGCATCGTCCTCGTCACGTAACGCACGCATCCAACGTCGATTTGAGATATTTCGAATGTGTCTTGATTATCAAACGTACCCCCTTTCCGTATAAAAACCGCGAAGTTCGCGAATACCCGCGGAGTTGTCGTACGGACCCGATCGTAAAGGCCGAATCAGACTAGCGATTCCCGACTCGGATTGAATTGGGATTGGCGATTGACTGCGATTGTCCTCTAGCCAATGGGAGTCGATTAAATCGCTGGCTGCTCTGCTCCCATTGGTTAGAAGACAATCCCAATCCAATCCGCGCCGACAATTGCTAGTCTGATTCGGCCTTAACGGTAGAATCGGACGACGATAGAATCCCGGTCAGGGGACGCAACACAGATTTTCCGGGAAACAGGAGGAAAGGCGAGAGTAAAGCCCGTACCGGACTACGGATTGAGATTGGGATTAGATTGAAATTTGACCAATCAGAGTAAAAGTTACTGAACTTGAGATTAGTAAACTTTACTGTGATTGGTTAAATTTCAATCTAATCCCAATCTCAATCCGTAGTCTGATACGGGCTTTATGGCCGATTTTTTCACTTCCCGATAAAATTATCCGGAGGTTGATCTCAAGCTTTAGCCAATCACGTGCATGGATCTGGTAGTTTATCTCCTGGTTAACTTTAACCGCAACATAACTGGATGTGAAGAAACCGGGCATTAGAGAGAGAGAAGGAGGGAGAGAGAAGCGTATAAATACGGCGCAATTCCACCGCTCGGAATTTTCTATTTCCTAGGACGGGCCCCCGGGTGGCGACGCCACTGAACGACCGGCCGGTCGGTCGGTCGGTCGGTCGGTCGGCTCGAAGCATCCCTCTCGCACTCCCTGTACAGAAAGGCTCTCTACCCGCCATGCCACGCTGCGGCGTGCTGCGCCACGCCGCGCTGTGCCGTGCCGTGCCGTGCCGTGCCGTGCCGTGCCGTGCTGTGCCGTGCCGCGTCGCGGTACGGTTTGCCGTGCCATCCTCAGCCGAGTAGCGTGGCTAGTTGTTTCTTTTCTTTATTCCTTTGTCGGAAAGTCGGCGGCAAGTCTCGTTTTTAAGAGGCGGCAGAGAGGGCCGGGTGAACGGCGAGCGGCGGGACGCGGCGAAGGGGGTGGGGGGTAGAGGGAGAGGCAAAAGGGAAACGGCGCGGCCGGCGAGGGGTTACGAGGGGGGAGGGGGGGGGCGGGATCGGAGGGAGAGCGGGATGGTGGCTCGGCGCGGCCTGGCCTGTTCGTCGGCGAGGGGAAATAAAACGCGCGGCTCAAAAACGCGGGTACAGACTAACCTCGAAATAACGCCGGCAGCGTGCACAAACTCTCTTTCTCTCCGACTGTCCGCGTGTGTTGAATTCGAGTCATCTATTAATAATAAACTATTTCCAGATGCCACCATCGAGAGCTCGATCGCTGCTCTCTGTCCTTTTCCCTCCCCCTCTCGCTGGCTTCGCCCCGAGCGCTTTGATCTCGCCAGCGATCTCACCTGTGCATCGGATGGACGCGCGAAGGAGAACCGAGACCGATTACAATTCGGATCCGCGTTCGATTTCGTATTAGTCGCGTATCGGCCGGCGCGTTTCCAATCTCTCCCGTAGGCGAGCGAACGGTAAGCCATTCTCGCTCGCCTCGGAGATGGAGCGCGACGAGGACGTTACGTCAATTTCAATTATCCGGTCGCCGTAAAGGGAGGAGAGACGGATAGCTGGATAGCCGCGTATCCGCGACGTCAGCGTCGCTAATTAGACACTCGGGGCTGAAGAAGCTTGTCACGCGGATCGGGGGACGTCGCTCGGACCCGATCCGGCCGGTCGTCGCGAG